TTGTTACTATGATTATCCTCAGTGCATCATAAATGCTTCAGATTTCTCTAATGATCTCTTGAGTTTGAGGTGTGGGTCAATTTGTCAGAAGGGTTTTCTCAATGACTATTGCTGGCCTGAATTTAGGGCTCCATGCTTGGCTTTGTGTCCTCAGAAACTCACAGCTTAGTGGAAGAGCCAAGTACATAAAAAGTACTATGTATTATGGTTCCCTAGACTCATTTAGGTGGAATAAGCTTTGGCTCAGCAAGTTAAAGAAGGTGGCAATTGAATTAATCTTCTACCAGTTTCCCTTAATTTCATATTTGGCTTGTTTTCTTAGACTTTTTCTTCTTATATGTTGCTACAGAGATAGCAAAACATTATTGCCCATGATAGACAGCACTAGTAACTCACAGAACTGTCTCATTGAGTCCATATGGGTCAACAGAATTCTTTGAACAGTAAATTTCAGGTGGGCATTACCCATAAGAACTGTCACAGGGTAAGACACCTATTTGCCATCTTCATGCTTGAATATTCTCAAGCTTCTTTCAGGTCCTAGGCTTTCCTTGTTTATATTATACAATGACTTTCAACAAACCTAGTTCTAGTTTTAACAAGCAAGTTTTGGGTCCATGAAATAAATGCGATTACTCAGGGAACAGGGATGAAATAAAGCAATAGCTCTGGACCCAAGGTCAAAATATGGGTAGGAGACTTTTAGTGATAGATATATCATATATATATTTTTTATTTTTATTTTTAGTTTTAGAGACAGAGTCTCACTCTGTTACCCAGGCTGGAGCGTAGTGGTGCAATCTCGGCTCGCTGCAACCTCTGCCTTCTGTGTTCAAGTGATTCTTCTGCCTCAGCCTCCTGAGGAGCTGGGATTACAGGCATCTACCACCAAGCCCGGATAATTTTTGTATTTTTAGTAGAGACAGGATTTCACCATGTTGGCCAGACTGGTCTCAAACTCCTGATCTCAGGTGATCCACCCACCTTGGCCTCCCAAAATGCTGGGATTACAGGCAAGAGCCACCACACATGGATCTATATGATTACTTTTACATGATAGATAATGTAATTTACAGAATTAACATGTAAGGTTTAAATTAATCCCAACTGATTGTAACCTTATTGAGGCATGGATTTGAATCCCAAATGCCATATGTTGGTATAAGAGTCACTAAGCTCATGAGTAAGGCTAGCCTATTGCTCAACATCCATATCCCAACAAATGACCATACTTCCCTGTGTACATGGGAAGCTTAGATCTTTCAGGGTTTACAGAAAACAAACAATTCCAGAATGACAGTCAGAGATCATGGTGATGCCAATTTCAGTGAACTGGCAATGCCTCCCAGGAATCTCGTGTTTAGAGGGATTTTGAGGTCATGCCTGTAGAGGAATTCCATAACTGACTAATGGGTAATGAAGAACATCAGCACACGTGCCTTATAAATGCTGTCTGTAAAACAGTAAAAGGGAAGTTTCCTTAGCCTGTGTTCACCTTTAAACAGAGGCCAAGATAAAGGCTGCACTGAGGAGATTCTTGGGAACATCGTCCTGGGGAATGACTGTGAGGACAAAGGGAGTGAACAGGGAATGAAGGAAAGTCAATATAAGAATGCATTACTGGCTACTGCTCCTGGTAACTAGTACTTTATTCTAGCATACCTTTGGGGAGTCTTGGAAAATGTATTTTACAATTATATGCCTATGGAACAAAAGGGATAAAAATATTTGTACATAGGTTTCCTCTCTCATCAGTCAAAGGTGACTCCACAGATGTTAGGTCCTCTGCATTTCCAGGTTGTATATGCGTGAGTGCTCAGTGGGTCCTGGGGTATCAGCGGCCACAGCTACACAGAAGCCCCAAAATGTTACAGGATCTTTTTCTGGCCAGAACCTCTGTGACTCTTGGTGCCTTTGCCTGAGTTTTGCTCAGGCCTGCTGGGCTCATTTTGCCCACTTGGCCTGGCAGGCTGCACTCAGCTCATGTCACCAGCCTGGGTCCCATGCCTGCCAAGGGCACGTCAGGCATGAATGGTGAGAGGTGTGTGAGCAAGTGTGGGATCCATCCACTGTGCATGGTAAGACATGCCGGCTGCTGCAGCAGGGTGGGCAGCTCCAGGTGCCAGCATGGGTGCCAGCTCTCTGTGAGACTGCAGCCAGAACAGGTACACTGCAAACAGGTTCCATAGCTGACACCAGGGAACACAGTCGTGCTCAGAACTTTGGAGATGTCAGAAACCACAGGACCCCAAAGAGAGAGTAACAGAACTGGCTCAGGGACCTCCCAGGTCTGAGCTCTCCATAGGGCCACATCTCTTCTTTCCTTCTCTTCACGTGCAATGTGGAGAGTAAGGGGCATGTCTCAGTCTAGTTTGTGTTACAGCTCTTTTAGCCTTGCCATTTGGTGGGTCCCAAGTCCTTGTCCTGTGACCAGGAAGAAAAAGGTACAAAGACAAGCAGAGGGTGAGCAAGATGAAGAATAACTTTACTGAGTGATAGAACAGCTTAGAGGAAGCCTGCAGGGGGAAGCTCCTTTCCGTAGCCAGGGTATCCTGATGAGTTTTCAGCTCCTAGCAGAGAGGGTAGCTCCTTTCTGCTAGGCAAGTCATCCCAACAAGTGTTCAGCTATCAGTAGAGAGGGTAACTCCTCCCTGCAGTTGGTCGTCCTGACATCTGCAGAGCTCTCAGCAAAGAGGAGGCCATAGAGTAGGTGGCTCTTCTCTGCAGGCAGGTTGTCCTATCATCTACCCATCATCTCTCCATCATCTCCCTGACATCTTTCCATCATCTCTGCAACTCTCAGCAGAGAGGAGGCCCTGAAGTGGGTTGCTCCTCTCTGTAGCTGGTTGTCCCATCATCTGCTCAGCTTTGACTGGGCCCAGGGATTTTATGGGCCTCAGAGGGGAGAAAGTGCATGCTGATTGGCCTGTGCTGATTGGCCCATGGGTGGCCATGTGTGGGTCGAGAAAAGGCACCACAAGTTCCCACTCCAGTTCGGGACTGGCAGCTTTTCCCCCAGCCTTTAGGCCCTCCCTGGCCTTGTGCCAAGGGGAGCCTGCAGGCCAGTGCTGAGCTTCCCTCGGCCCCTCCTTGGCTTCCCTCCTATGCTCATTGGTGCCCAAAATCTGGAGACAGCAGATGTGGCAAAGGGCTGGTGTGTCAGCACTGCCCTGAGTGTGTTCATACCAAGTCAGGCTGTGGCAGCACCTGGGCCCAGCCTCAACTTTGCTCTGAGATCAGAGCAGGCACTGACAGCAGGGAGGAAGCCAAGCAGCGGGGCAAGCAGTTCCAAGCCCGCAAGGGCAGGGGATACTTCCTGGGTCCCCAAGAGTGCAGAGATGCCTGGGTCTGCAGTTACAGTTTGGGCAGCTGCAGCTGCACCCGGGGGGGCAGAACTCATGCCTGCTCCATGGAGTGGTAGGCCTGGGTCTGCAGCTGTGACTTGGGCGGCTGCAGCTGCACCCAGGAAGGTGGCACTCCTGCTTGCTCCATGGAGCAGGAGGCCTAGGTCTGCAGCTACAACTTGGGTAGCTGCAGCTGTGCTTGAGTGGGTGGCACTCCCATCTGCTCCTGGGCTGTGAGAGCACAGGGATGGCCTAGGTCCACAACTGTGGCTTGGGCAGCTGAAGTGGCACTCAGAAGGGGTGGGGCTTCTGCTTGTCCTTGGCTCCTGCTGGCTTCATGGAGTGTGCAGCCCCGGCCATGCCTCCCTGCTGCAGCCAGCATGATGGCCGTGGCTGTTCTAGATAGCCTGCTGCTGCCATCACAAGTGCAGGAAGAGGTGATGAAGCAAAGCCTGAGGCAAAGCTCTGACAGGTTGTACCTTTTCCAAACTAATCAGAGTCAAGCAGTTACTGGAAGAAGAATGGAGACCAGAAGAAGAACCATGCTAAAAGGGTGTCCAATACAGCTACTTTTATAACAATTCTTTTGAATCTTATTCTCTGTAATTGCATATGCTCAATGGTTGGAAAAAACTCCATAGAACTTCACTGTTTTAAGATAATCCATTCAAGCAGAGTCCTTCTCAGGAAGCATGTTCCCTGGACTATCTCTAATTATTTAATTCAGCTTTAGATTTGGTGGCTGACTGAACGCAGTTGAAACCCTACAAGCCAGAAGAGATTGGGGTCATATAGTCAGCATTGGTTTTTTTTTTTTTTTTTTGAGATGGAGTCTTGCTGTGTCTCCCAGACTGGAGTGCAGTGGCACGATCTCAGCTCACTGCAAGCTCCACCTCCAGGGTTCACGCCATTCTCCTGCCTTAGCCTCCCGAGTAGGTGGGACTACAGGCGCCTGCCACCATGCCCGGCTAATTTTTTGTATTTTTAGTAGAGACAAGGTTTCACCGTGTTAGCCAGGATGGTCTCGATCTCCTGACTTCGTGATCCACCTGCCTTGGCCTCCCAAAGTGCTGGAATTACAGGCGTGAGCCACCACACCTGGCCTATCAGCATTCTTAAGAAAAGAAATTCCAACCAAGAATTTCACATCCAACCAACCTAAGCTTCATAAGCAAAGGAGAAATAAGATATTTTTCAGACAAGCAAATGCTAAGGAAATTCATTACCACCAGACCTGTCTTTCAAGAGGTCCTTAAGGGAGTGGTAAATACAAAAAGGAAAGATCATTACCAACTACTACAAAAACACACTTAAGTACACAGACCATTGACCCTATAAAGCAACCACACAATCAAGTCTACATAATAACCAGGTAATATGATGACAGGATCAAATCTGCACATACCAATATTAACCTATAATGTAAATGGTGTAAATGCCCCAATTAAAAGGCATAGACTAGCAAGTTGAACAGAGGCAAGCCCCAGCGGTATGCTGTTTTCAAGAGACATATCTCATAAGCAATGACACCTGTAGGCTCAAAGTAAAAGGATGGAGAAAAATCTACCAAGCAAACAGAAAACAGCAAATAGCAGAGGTTGCTATTCTAATGTCAGACAAAACAGACTTTAAATAATAATAATCATAAAAGACAAAGAAGGGCTTCCGCCAGGGCCGCCACTGGAGAGCAGCAGCCATGGCTCTACGCTACCCTATGGCCGTGGGCCTCAACAAGGGCCACAAGGTGACCAAGAACGTGAGCAAGCCCAGGCACAGCCGCCGCCGCGGGCGTCTGATGAAACACACCAAGTTCATGTGGGACATGATTCGGGAGGTGTGTGGCTTTGCCCCGTACGAGCGGCGCGCCATGGAGTTACTGAAGGTCTCCAAGGACAAACGGGCCCTCAAGTTTATCAAGAAAAGGGTGGGGACGCACATCCGCGCCAAGAGGAAGCGGGAGGAGCTGAGCAATGTATTGGCAGCTATGAGGAAAGCTGCTGCCAAGAAAGACTGAGCCCCCTCCCCTGGCTTCTCCCTGAAATAAAGAACAGCTTGACAGAAAAAAAAAAAAAAAAAAAAAAAGACAAAGAAGGGCATTTCAAAATGGTAAAAGTTCCAGTCAACAAGAAAACCTAGCTATCCTAAATATATATGCACCCAACACAGGAGCACCCAGATTCATAAAACAAGCTCTTAGAGACCTGCAAAGAGACTTAGATTCCTACACAATAGTAGTGGGAGACTTTAACAGCCCACTGACATTATTAGACAGATCATAGAGGGAGAAGACTAACAAAGATATTCAGGACCTAAACATGACATCTGACCAAATGGATCTAACAGACAACTGCAGAACTCTTCACTCAAATGCAACAGAATATACATTCTTCTCATCTGCACATGGCATATACTCTAAAATCAACCACACAATTGGCCATAAAACAATTCTCAGCAAATTCAAAAACCCAAAATTATACCAACCACACTGGAACTACAGCACACTAAAAATAGAAATCAATACAAGAAGATTGCTGAAAACCAGAAAAGTACATGGAAATATAAAAACCTGCACCTGAATAACTTTCAGATAAGGAGTGAAATTAAGCTAGAAATCAGTAAATTCATTGAAACTAACGAGAACAAAGATACAACTTTCCAAAATCTCAGGGAAACTACTAAAGCAGTCTTAAGAGGAAAGTTTATGGTGCTAAATACACACATCAAAAAGTTAGAAAGATCTGAAATTAACAACTGAACATCACATTAACAGGAACTAGATAAATAAGAGCAAAACAATGCCAAAGCTAGCAGAAGACAAGAAAGAACCAAAATCAGAGCTGACCTGAATGAGATTGAGATGCAAAAACCAAAACAAAACAAAACAAAAAACAAAAAAACACCAAAGAACAGTGAATTCAGGAGTTTGTTATTTGAAATAATAAATAAGATAGACTACTAGCCAGACTAATAAAGAAAAATAGAGAGAAGATCCAAATAAACACAATCAGGGAGGACAAAGGGGACATTACCACCGACCCCACAGAAATACACAAACCCCTCAGAGACTATGATGAGTACCTCCATGCACACAAACTAGAAAACCTACAAAAATGAATAAATTCCTGAAAAAATACAACCTTTCAAGATTGAACCAGGAAGAAATTGGAACCCTGAATGGACCAATAATACCAATCAGAAAAAGCCCAAGACCCGACGGATTCACAGTCTAATTCTACCAGGTACATAAAGAAGAGGCAGGCTGGGCGTGGTGGCTCACACCTGTAATCCTAGCACTTTGGGAGGCTGAGGCAGGTGGATCATGAGGTCAGGAGATTGAGACCATCCTGGCCAACATGGTGAAACCCTGTCTCTACTAAAAATACAAAAATTAGCCAGGCATCATGGCGTGTGCATATAGTCCCAGCTCCTCAGGAGGCTGAGGCAGGAGAATCACTTGAACCCAGGAGGCGGAGGTTGCAGTGAGCCAAGATCGCACCATTGTACTTCAGCCTGGGTGACAGAGCGAGACTCCCTCTTAAAAATCAAAACAAAACAAAAATTCAAGTTGAGATCTGGGTGACGACACAGCCAAATCATATCAGCACACATGAGTTCATGTTCAAAACATGCCAGAGAGAAGGAAGAGACATTTACAATGTTATAGCGTTGGATTTGTCAGATCCCAGTTGATGTGAGCCATAATGGATCATCATCATCTGAGGTGATTTTCTAAACCTGATGCAGTATAGAGGATAGAGTGTATGATACAGAGATGACCTTGATGGCTGGCCAGCTAGCAGCAACTGAAAACAGCTAGCATGGCTTGGAAGACTGAGGCACACACTGTAGTAGAACTCCTGAACTTTAAATCCCCAGTGCCACCTGACAGTTTTGCTAATGGTGAGCTCCAGCTATCCTGTGAAATGTCTTATATCCTAATGCTAAGGACCTAGGAAAGAAAACTTGGAAAAGAGAAAAGGGGCAACATAAACAAGGAAGTAAAACTAATCTGACAGGAAAGGAAAATATGCATTATTCTTATGTTCAACTCATAGCAGACATCACTAATTTCCCATCATACCTTCCCTGATGAGTGCTGAGTTATCTCAAAACTCATTAACCCATCTTTTCAGGCAGAACATCTCAGTATTTCAGAGGAAATCAATGTGTCATCTTTGATCTATGACTATATTTAGTGTTATTCTAAACACCCCAGCTATAAGAAATGAGAAATCCTAACCTTTGGGAATTTAAGAATAGACAGAAAAGGGTCTTTGTATAAACTACCTAAAATCATTTTCTTTCTTTATAACTATAACTTAAACCATTCATTTATAGTTTCATCATGCTCTATCATGTGTTTACCTTTTCATGTAATAATAATACCTTAGATGAGTATGGTATCTTTATTATTTACAAAATATTCTCAGATGTTAACATTCTTGATCCTAAAGTCAAGCACTATTTTTCATTCTAAGATTAAGAAAACAAACCAAAATCATCCCTGAGGCAGAGGCTCAAAGAAGGTAGGTGACTTCTTAATTTTATATTTCAAAATCTAGTAGCTGGAGGAACTAAAATGAAAGTTTAGAGCTTCAACGGAGTACTTATCTTATGATCTTATGCCTATTTTGCACATAGAAAGAATCTATCCAAGATTAATTTTTAATATTTTATCAGTTGTAAAAAAAAAAAGATTTGGAACCATGAAAATATATCTTTAGTCCTTTGGAGACTAGCACCCAGAGATTCTGTGGCCAAGGGGAGGGGGACTTGCCAGTATTGTTGAGGTGTGCATTATTTGGAGTTAAAGCTGCCTTATCTAGTTATGCAATTCGTTCTGTCTCTAGAATCAACAGTTCCTCAAAACTCCAATATTAAAGACAACCAGAAAATTGCACAGTAATTGTACCATGGAAAGAAGATTGCTCTCTGCTCCTCCAGGCATTTGTTTTATGTGCTGACAGAAGAACATTTGATTACTCTTAACTGTCTTATGGGGAATGGCTAATAAATGCTAATATGCACCAGGGAATTACCTGGCATTGCTATAACGGTGGGAACAAGATCCACAACATCATGACTTGCAAGCATGCATTTTTGTATCATTGAAATGCATCACATCATTGGTGGCCATACTGTTGGGTCCTAGTCTCAGGAAGAACCTGGGGTCAAAATTCATGAGTTGCACTTGGTCCTGAGTCACAGTTTACTCCCAAAATTGCAGGCTCAAATTTCTTGGCGTAATAGAATAACACTAAATGTGCTTCTTACAGGAGGAAAGCTATTCCAGAAGAAAAAACAAGCCTAAAATTTAATGAAAGAGTGATTGGCTGGGTGTGGTGGCTCATGCCTGTAATCCCAGCACTTTGGGAGGCTGAGGTGGGAGGATCATGAGGTCAGGAGATCGAGACCATCCTGGCTAACATGGTGAAACCCCGTCTCTATTAAAAATACAAAAAATTAGCCAGGTGTGGTGGCAGGTGCCTGTAGTCCCAGCTACTCGGGAGGCTGAGGCAGGAGAATGGTGTGAACCCGGGAGGTGGAGCTTGCAGTGAGCCGAGATTGTGCCACTGCACTCCAGCCTGCGCGATAGTGTGAGACTCCATCTCAAAAAAAGAAAAAAAAGAGTGACCAAGGAAAATCATGTTGTGACTTTTCCTGTGATTATGAGCTTGGGTCTCCTTTGTCATGGGGAAAATAGAGTCATGCTGAGTCAGGTCTTTGCTTATCAAAGCCTCCTGAGACTTAATTATTCAACAAGTCTTTATTGAGCACCTGCTAAATGCCTGGGACTGTGCTACACACTTTATACAAGTTATCTTACGGGTTCTTCACAATTACCTTACGAAGCAGTTACTTTGGGTGGCTGAGGTTACTTTGAGACATCACAATATTTTTCCTTGTTTATTGCTTTATTTACGGAATATCACCCTCTCTTCAGAATGCAAAATAATTTGGAGTCAATATGTTATTCTGAAAAGAGTCTTGGAGTAGGAAGTCCATGGGCATTAGGAGGAAGATCTGAGAGGTGAAGATAGAAATGATGCTGAAATTGAGAGAAAATAAAACCACTGAATTTAAAGCAAAAAGAAACAAAGTGAGTCTTTGGGACCTTTCCTACCTGTATTAATCTTTAGTGTTACAGAATAACTAAACTAGTTGGATCCTTCACAGTCATTTAATGTCCAACGTCACCTTGATGGGAGATCCAGGGGTGGGTTGAGGAACTGTTTAATCACTATTCCTTGTTTTGGGTAAGGGACGCAGGTAAAGGGATAGCTAATATCAAAATTCAAATGCTAGCAAAAAGAAATTTAGCAGCATTAAATAGTATTTCTAATTTTAAAAAGATTAATTTGGCCAAGCGCCGTGGCTCATGCCTGTAATCCTAGCACTTTGGGAGGCTGAGGTGGGCAGATCACGAGGTCAAGAGATCAAGACCATCCTGGCCAACATGGTGAAACCCTATCTCTACTATAAATACAAAAATTAGCTGGGCGTGGTGGTGGGTGCCTGTAGTCCCAGCTGCTCGGGAAGCTGAGGCAGGAGAATCACTTGAACCTGGGAGGCGGAGGCTGCAGTGAGCCAAGATCGCACCACTGCACTCCAGCCTGTTGACAGAGCAAGACTCCATCTCAAAAAAAAAAAAAAAAGTTTAATAAATCAATTTCTGCTTGTAGCCAGGAGGGAGGAACTGACACCAGACTAATCCTTGTATGAAAAGAGCAAATACAGTAACCCCACCAAAAGTCAATATAAATGGAATAAGCCATGACGCAATTGCCTTCAGGCACTCGACAACAGGTAGAGCAAGACTGCAATCTTAGGGTGAATGCAAACTCAGCAGGTGAACCCAGACTCTGCCTGGGGACCTTTTGTGATACAGCCCAGGGATTGGAGTAGAGCAGGGCAGGCCTGTGGATAGGGGAGCAGGACATTGAGTGTAGGACCACAAAGATGATGTAGTCTGGGGTAAAGGACACAGGGGACCTGAAGTCTGGGGAGCTTTTTAAACTAGTCATTTGCTGATGGACCACACAGATGCAGGACGAGACTATGACGATCTTCACAGAACAACT